TATGAAATAAACATCTCAGAGGTCAGAAACTCAGATACCACAGAAAGATAGTGCATGTCTGAGCAGTTGACTATTCCTTTGAAATCAGAAGTGGCTCAAAGGGACAGATCTGCCCACCCTGTGGTGAGATGGCCCACCTGATTTGGCTTCCAAGGTAAAGCCATGGGGAACAAGCATGGTTGCATTCTTCTGAAGCTTTGGATTTTTCCAGGAAAGGAGGAGGGCTGAGCCTGAGAACCTACAGAGGGAGGCTGTGGCTCACTCATAATGAGCTGTGGCTTCTAAGCTGAAGGAGAGAGAGTAAAGAAAATCTAGACCTGGCTGGAGAGTGCTGAAGAAACCAAGTGGATTGGGGCTCCCAATGGCCATGAAACGTGTGTGCGATGGCAGCCTTGGGGTGAGAGGGGGCTGGGGGCATGGCATTTGAAAATTTTGATGTTCTGCTGCGTTTGTTGATCACACGTTCTCAAATGTGGGTTTGTTCATGGGAAGTGGTGAATCTTTTGAATAGGGCAGTTTTACAGTGGAATTGGGATGGGGGGAAGAAAGCTCTGAGAATGCGAGGTGGAAACTAAAGTCTTCACGAAGGAGAGAATGGCCAGGAGTGACCAAATGACCATGACAAGGACGGGGAAGGACCCTGAATCACTAAGGAGTGGGGACTTGGAAGTCCATCTGGCCAATAACTGTTCACTGATCGCTGCTGCAAGCCAGACTCTGTGCCAGTAACACACAAAACAGCAATGTGTGAAATGGAAGGGCCCTGCCCGATGGTGTTCAGGTCCCACTGGAGAGATGGGGTGGTACAACAGGTATCCTGTGCCAAAGAAGCCGTTTTGGGTTTGTACAGAAAACAGTACTAGAATCTGAGTCCCGGCATTCCAGGTATCTCGCTCAGTGCCCTGTGCTTGGAAGCCTCTGCGGGGGGTCTTGGTGCTCTTCTCTCATGGTTCAAACATCAGAGGAGATTTTGATGGGAAGCTGCCATGTGAGTCGTCAGAGTCACTGCTAGTCCAAGGGACGCTTTTGTTCGTTAAGAAAATGGTACTTTTTCTTTTAGGAACTCTGCTTCCACTTGCCTGAAAGCCATTGTGATAAATGTAGTGAACACAGTCCAGGACGAGAGAGCTCTAGCTCAGCTGCAGTCCCTGCACTGGGAGAAGGGGGCGCTCAGGAGCCCTGGAGGTAACCAGTTAGCTGCTAAGGGCTTTAGCACAGGGTTCTCCCACATCCGTGTGTACAGGAAGCACCTGGGCCTCTTAGCAGTGCAGATTCTGATTCAGCAGGGCGGGAGTGCGGCCTGAGGTTCTGCATTTCCTGCAAGATCCCAGCCATGCTGGTGCTGTTGGTTCAACAGGTGGGCAAGTGTGAACCTTCCTGGGTGTTAGAGGCTGGGCTTAGGGAGGGGCTTCAACACCAACACTGAAGACCTGCATCCTTTGCATTTAAGGGATTGTAGTCTAAGGAAGGGAGTTTAGCTACTGCACAGGAAAGGGGTGGATGGCAATAAAGTGATCTGGGATGTGCTACTGACTCCAGATAGAGTCTAGACTCCCAGGGAAGCAGAGCCTCCAGGACTGGCCTCCTCAGAGAGGAGGAGCAAGGACTTGAAAGTTGTCCCCAGCCCCAGGCGAGAAAGGAAGGTATTCAAGACAGGGCCAGGGTTGAGGGGACAGCCAAGGGAAAGGCATGATGTCATGATAGTTACAATGCAAACAACGATAATTAAGAAACTAATAGCTGTTGGGGGTTTGCTGCTGTAGGGTTTGCTGAAGCAGAGTTCCTAAAAGAAAAAGTACCCATTTCCTTATAACCTCAGTGAAGTCGAGCTGGTTTTAGGCAACGTTACAGTACCTTCTAGAAGGAATGGGTGACATGGTGTGAGTAACAGTATTCATCAGATCTTCAGTAGGAATAAGTGGCCCTCATCCTTCAATTACTGTGTGCAGCTAGGATGGGTTTGGGATCCTAAGTGATTCTGAAGTGTTTGGGCCATTTCATTTCTTAGATTTATTTTTTTTTCCACCGACATTTGCAACCTCTTCAGGTGCAGCATGTCTAGACAACGCACCCGTGAAAAAAGTCATTTCTAACATCCATGATGCTAATTAAAAGACAGCCTCTGGTGTTGATGGGAAGTAGCTGGAGCAGACACTTGGAATGTGGGTTTCTGACTGGAGTCTTTCAAATGGTAAACTGCACCCCTGGAGGGTGTGTTCCGAATTAGGATACTACAGATGTTGACTCCCTGCACCTAGGTGGAAACTAAGGCTCATCCCAGATAGACCTCAGGGTCTGCACCGAGGTATTTTGAGTTGCAGGCAGTATAACAAGACATAGTGATTTAAGTTTTTATGTAGTTCTAAATTATAAAAGCAATGCATGCTTCTTGTATAAAACTTGGGAAATGTATATTCATATACTATGAAATTATTCAAAATCTATATCCAGTGATAACTTTCAATATGTAAATCCTTTTTTTGGTATGTATAAATATGTAGCTATTAGCCCATCTGTATAGTATTACTTTGGACAGAGGGGTACATGTGATTGTCAGTCACTGAGCTTCAAATCCTGCTCTTGTGGCTTAACAGATCCGTGGTTCCTCCACTATTCTTCATACACGTGTTTTCCATTGGTGAAGGCAGAGGGGAGAAGACAGATGGGGTAGATTTTTCTAACTGACCATGCTGGGCAGGGAGTTGGATGTTGGAGTTGAGGCAGGAATGCTTCGTGAGGCCTCTGGGACACCTGGGATAGCAGGTGGGGGATCTCCTGTCCACTTGGAAGCAATGGAGGTAGCTGGTTGGAGGCTGGCCTTCCTCCTATCCACATTTGCACTTTTTGGGATGGAATTCAGCTGACCTCCTGGTCCTTCCTTCTTCTTGAGTGGATTCCCATGTTGACTTCCTGGAATAGCGTCTGATATCAGTTGAGATTTTCCTTAAAACCTATTTTTAGTACACAGAGGTGTCACTGGGAAGTCAAATCCACGAAGGAAGATTTTTTGCCTGCTGGGTTTAATGGGAGATCCCAGTGTTATCGCAAAAGGCCAACCTCCGAAGACTCTGTTTCAAAACTCTGTACAAATCGTGCAATTTGAAATTAACTTCAGCAGATGGAGAAAGCGGGGAAACGAGTATCTTAGAGGGTTATTTTTTAAAAATGTTATTTAAATATTAATAACATTCTGTGTTATGAACTCAGTGGAGTTCGGTTCCCATGCTGCATTCCCCCAAAGCCTAAATTCATCTATAGCTCTGCTTCCGTTGATAGAGGAATAAAATGAAGGCCACCGGAGCCAGCCAGTGGAGCCAGTAGCTGGACTTGAACCTCTCTGTCTGAGGGCACTGCCCTCTCCCCGCTGCCCCCCCACTTCCTCTGCCCACAGTCTTGGAGCTTGGTGGCCCTTATTCTCTGTGACTTGTGGAGTGTGTGGGCAAGGTCTGTTGTCGTCCCCAGCTCCAGTCCCCTGGGGGGACTTCTCTCCAGTCAACATTCTTGGTTCAAGAGGATTTTGCTTTTTGAGTTTCCCTTTCTAGTTCACCCCCTCCAGCCCTGGGGTCTTTCATCTGTTTCAAAAGAAGGACGTTTAGAAAATTGCATTCCATTGACTGCAGAAGAAAGCCCGGGGTGGACAGGCGAGATGGGCCCCATTAGGTGTTTACCGCTTGCGACACGCTGAACACAAGCTCCTGACGCTTGAGAGCATCGCCCTGGTTAGAATCTGATTCCGTTTTCCCTTTAACAGAAGAGTATCGGGCGTCTGCAGGCGACAGGCTGTCTGCTTGAGTCTTAAGGGGCAAGGAGGATCAGATGGGGTGGGGAAAATCCAGAGCTCTTTTGGAAACTCCGAGGCTGGTGGGGAAAGGAGGCAGTGCCTCTAGACCACCGCAGGGGAGCCCAGAGGTGGTGGCAGAGAGGAGGGTACCCGTAGGAATACAGGAGCAGACACCCAAAGCGGCGATTTCACAGACAGCAGTTCTTTGGGAGTTGGGAGTATTCTGTAACTGTCCTCAGTGGGTGGTTCTCCTCTGTCAGGGAGTCCAAGTGGGTGTATGCGCCAGCTGTAGACATGTGACACCTCTGTTAGGGATTGGTGGAGATGAGACCTTGTGGCCTGTGGGTTCCATTTCCATGTCATACACATGGTTTTATGATCAGATATTCAGGTGGAAGATCACGGCTCTCTGCTCCATGTGACTTGACTTCCTCTCTTGTTTTAAAACATCATGGCCAGATTTCTGCCCTGGTCTAAGGACAGGCTGGATAGAGATTATCTGTTTGTTCCTGTCTGTGCTCTGCACATTCTAGTCATTGCCATACTTCTATGGACATAGCTCTTCTTCCCTTATCAAAGGTAGAAGCTATGAAGGCCGTCCCCCCTGACTGGTGTTTAGATTTTCAGCGCTGATTGGGATTCAGGTGCATGCAGGTGGATGCTGTGGCCCAGCTGATCTCCTTTTCTTTGCATGTGCTCCTGTGCTGCTTCAGGGGCCTTTGACAGTCCCTCTGACGGGCGACAGGGACCATCTGCCATCTTGATCACGCAGGAATCCATCAGTACCTGCACCTGCTCTTCATAGTGGTCTGTGAAATTCTTGATTGTCACATTCTCGGAGCTCCCATGTCTTTTGTTGGTCTGTCTCCTTAGGTTACGCTCTTTGACGTTCACCTGTGTTCTAGTCTGTGAAAACATAGCACCTGGCTGGTATTTGGTAGGTAACAGGTGCCAACTAAATTCTCCTTTAACCTGTGTCAGAAGCACCTGTGCATATGCATGCTCTGGAGGGCCCTTACAGAGACCCTTATTTATGTATTTAACTGCCTCCGTTTGGATAGACTGCAGCCACCTCTGTCATCTCTTGTGACAGAGATGAGCAGGAAGTCATCCACCAGAGAACTCTTTAATCCAGGATCTGTGGGACGGTTCTCCTCTGCTGATTGCGTCCAGGTATCATGCCAAGGACTCAGCCTTCCCTCTCTGCTCTTCCTTTCAGAAAGTATTATGAGGGAGGCCGAGGACTTCATGCTCCGGACAGAGACACGGTGCTGGGATTAGGGATTGCCACTTCTGAGAGGATGCTGGGGATCTGCAGAGGGAGACGGAAATTCCTGGCTGCCTCTTTGACTCTGCTCTGTATCCCGGCCATCACCTGGATTTACTTGTTTGCTGGGAGCTTCGAAGGTAAGAAGGGAAGACAAAGAGAGAGGGAAGGAGGGAAGGAAGGGAAGACTGGCTGTCAGAGGGTCCTAGAAAGGACCTCAGGGCCATCTGATGGCAAGGTCGCATTTGGTAGAAGGTCAGAATGGATGCCTGGTCCCAGGAAAGGACCTGGCTGAGGCTGCACAGGTGGCTGGGAGACAGTCACCAATGTGAGGTCAGATGGTGGGCACACCGAGTCCAGCACCCTTGGGTTGGACGGCTCACTGTGTTGATGGTGGGGGAGGTTGAACCGTGGGGAATAACCAGGTCTTTGGGGAGACAGTGTCCCACTCTCCCATCCACCTGCTCATTCATTTCTTCACACATTCAGCCTTTTGGTGTTATCTGATGTCCGCATTCAACCTTGTGCTGAGATGGATGGGGAGATAACAGTGCTGGACACCCCAGGGCTGCTGGAGGAGAAGGGAGCTTAATAAATGGTTCCCACACACAGCGGTGCATGTTCTGCTAGAGGAAGCGGGGCTGCCGTGGGAGAGGTCTGTTGGAGTGTCAGGCCTGGACTGGGGAGGGAAGATGATCCATCATCCCGAGAAGCCCAGCACAGGATGCAAGAAAGAGTGGCCCTCCTCAAAGAGATAAATACAAATGACCATCCCTGGCACTCTCCAGAGGTCCACAGGAAAGACTGGACGCGCCATTTTTCCAGATAGCTATCTCAAATGCAGGGCAGTGTTTTGGGTTTCCAAGATGGCGCCCCAGCATTGGGGAGAAGGAATGGCGATGTTGAGGTGCAGACTTTCTTTATATTTCTCTCCCCCATACTTGAATGATAAGGGAAAAAAACACTCAAAGTAAAATATAACTCAAGGAAGTCACTTCCATGTTTTAAAACATTTCTTTTATGCATAATTTTATTGACAGCTCAAGGCTACCTTTTAATTAGGAGCTCCTCTTCCCTTCCTGAGATGGGCTTTGAGTTCGCCAGAGTGAATGGGAGCAAGGTGGAGGGAGCTAGCTGTGTGCTAGCACAGCAGGGAGGGTCAGGATTCCCAGCCCAGTGCTGGGGCCCAGTGTCACACCCCTGTTACGGCTCCAGTCCCTTAGCTACATCCCTGGACTGGTCATCTGAGCTGCCAGATGGAGTAGGGTATGCCCAGGCATTGGATGGTGAACTTCTGTGAAGGGATCAGAGGAAGGGCACCTGGCTGTTGATCTACTTAGAAGAGACAGGAGGAAGCATGCTCCCCAAGAGGGCGAGGAGGAGGCCTTACAACAGAGCACTGAGGCCACTGGGCTCCTGTCGGTGTAATGAGAGGAGACACCGCCGCTCTGCAGGGTAACCAAACTGGTTTTCATTATAGTCACCGAACAATAATGGTGGCGGTGCCGATGCCACAGTGTGAACATCGAGTATTGTGAGCTCTTCTTAGGGCCAGGCCTTGCGAGGACTAAATACCCCAGTCTTTCTTCACAATGACCCTACACAGATCCTAGTTAATATCCCTGTTTTACAGATGGCATCTAGGTTTTGGTGATCTGCCCAAGGCCTCCAAGCCAGTCACAAGGGAGCCCCCGTTAGACTCAAGAGTCTAATATTTTTCTATAGATTGGGCTTCACTCAGGTGTTCGATTTGGGAAAGGGGTGTGACAAGAGTGTCACATGTTTTTCTGTAGGAAAGTTGTTGAATTTTGATTTGTGCTCAGATATCAGGTAGGGTTGGATCCAGGGGCTCAAAAGATGTTTTGGTAGCCAGGTCTTTCTGTATCCCTTTGTTGGACCGTTCTTCTTCTCTCTGTTGGTTTCTCTCAGGGTGAATTTTCCTACATAGAGCCAGTTTGTGGTTTTCATATTATCTTCACCAATTCCAAGAGAAAAAGGACACCTTCTTTCTCCTTGCCCAATATTGCTTCTCATTGGTTGGCCTGAGTTATAGTACTGAAACCAGCCCCTGTGGCTGGTGGAGACTGATGAGGGAACCCTGAGCCCTGTCACAATTTTCCAGGTTATAAGGTGATGGGGGGTTGCCTGAAACATGAAGTGAGGCTGAGGGAGGGTGGCCACCTGTGGCCGATGGTGTGGGTTCCCAGAGAGCAGAGACGGGAGGTGGAGCCAGGAACTCATGATTTGTGTTCATGGTTTGACATTAAAGACCCAGGGATGTCATGCTCCAGGCCCAGCCCTGGGTGCTGGAGTGACAGTGGTCACTGGCTTAGTGTGATTCGCCAGATTGGCAGATAATTAAGGGAAATTGGGAGCATTGAGGAAATACTGCAGGTGACACACACAGATTGGATTATACTATCCACAGGACACTGAAGACTAAACCCATGCTAGGGGCGTCACAGACTGCATGATGCAGGGGTTGGGCGTGTGGGCACCTTAATAGAAGTGTCCAGCTACAGGCCTCTGAACCCGGCAGTTAGTCCACAGATGGGCTGCTGCGTTTCTTTCTGGGCTCCATGCTGTTAAAACGATCTAGACAAGTCGGCCCGCTCAGGTGCATGGCAGTGCCCTCCAAACCTGGTCACACACGGAACAGCAGAAAGAACCAGGGCTGCTGATGCCGGAGCGGCCGAGGCTCAGGGTGTACCTGGTCAGCCTCAGCCAATAGTCAGAGGCTGTCACCTGAAAGAGCTGAGGATCGCTCTGGTGGCCCCCAAGTCTGTGGAGGGGTGTGCAGGGAGCCCGATGTCAAGGTCCTCATGATGAAGATCATCTGTCCAAAATTGGAACAAGCTGCCCAGGAGGGAGAGAAACGCTGTGAAAAATACACTAGCAGGTGTCCTGCGTCGAGGGAGGGAGTCCAGCAAGGGGGCAAGTGCACAGGTTGGCCCTTGTGACCTGACTGGGGACCCCAGAAGAGGCTGAGGAGTTACCCAAAGGCTGTCCTCCACAGAGTACCTGCTGATGGCCAGGACGCCTGGGCCTGCAGAGAGGCTCCTCTTGGGAACTGGGCATCACCGTGGCCTTGTGGTCTCTTTATTGACACCCTGGAGTTTTGACTTTGTGGCAGGTGAAGCCACAAATAAGGGCCGAGCTGCTGCCTGGATTCATAACCACACGACTCTCACCGTGTGGGGGTTCACTTTTTTTTTTTTTTTTAAGCCTGTTTAATTTCAAGGTCTCCTGAGAGCAGAGCCAGGCGTTCCCTCTGGGATGCAGCTGCTTCCAGCTCTGAGGTTAAGGGTTGGATTACCTGGAGCAGCACAGTAGGAGGGGAGGGAGCTGATGGGGTCAGGCCAGGCAGGCTGGGGGACAGGTCAGCTAGGTTAGCTGAGTGACTTGGGCACAGTGGTGCCACTTGTCTCCTTCAGTGTGGAATGAAGTTGTCCACATGAAGCCCGTGTGTGGGGCTGCCAACCTCTACAGACAGGGCTGGGATTCTGAGCGGCTGATGTAATTGGAATAACTAGACACTTTCTCCACTTGCGGGGGGGATGACAGGAGAGGGAGTGGGAGGAGATTTGTCCTAAGCGTGGGACCAGGGTCAGTGCATAAGACTGATGGGGAAGCAGACATGGCCCTGAGGTGAGAAGGCCCTTCCTAATAGATCTCCTGCAAGTGGGGAGGAGGTGAGATCCTGGCTCCCGGGGCCATTTGTCAATGGCCAAGTGACTGAAGTGGCACTCCCTTTCTCCACAGGAAAGTCTTAACTGGGCTTCTCCAGAAATCTTCACCATGGCTGATTTTAGGACTGTCAGCAAAAGAGTCTTTGCAAGAGTCCAATGTAGATAAACTTCCTATTTTTATGTCACCCTGTTTACTTGGCCACTGGCCGAGAAGATACCAGCACTCCAGACTCCAGGTGCTGGACACCCCTTACAGGTTTATCACAAACATGTATCCAATATAGTACTTTGTAGAACTGTGCAAACAAGGCCTCTGGCCTTGAGCTGGGCTTCACAGAGATGTCTACATTTTTAAGGTAAGTTAATAACTGGGCTCCATGGTGACAGCTGGCAGGGGGAGGAAAGAGAGGGGAGAAGAAGCTCTCCCCTTCTCAGGTGTTGTCCTTGAAGAGTTAACTTGCCCAGAACAGAGAGAGAAAAAGCTGCTTTTATGTGAACTTCTGCAGACTGTGAACTTCTGAGCCCCTCCCCTTACACGCTGGATATAAAACTCCGAAACTCCCTGAACTCGGGGTTCAGGGGATTGACTGATTACAGCAAAAGCTGTGCCCTCTGAACCTGGCTGCAGCCAAACAAAACTGTTTCCTGCTGCCTTCGGTGCCCTGCCTCGGCTGTCCCTACAACATGACTGCAGGTGAAGGATGCTAATCGGGTGGTGTTTTTGCTGGACCTTAACCCCAAGTTCCTAGACCCACCTTCCCCACTTCTCCCCGCTACCCGCCGTCCCCCTCCTCTATCTCAGTGACCGCCCAGCCACGGAGACTTCCGCTCTGCACTTTGAAGTGTTGTCCTCCTGCTTCTCCCTCCTCCCGCCATCCCTGGGATGCCCCTTCCTGCCGCCTCCGGTCCTGGTCTCTGGCAGCTGCTGTTGACTGGTGGCTCCTAGTGCTGCTGTGCTCTCCTGATGTCCCTCCATTGTCTGCCCTGCCACACTAACTCCTTCAGTGCCCACATTCCCTGTCATTTCTCCCTAATATCAGCCTCATGTGGAAGCCAGCATTCATCATTGATGGGGTGTGATGTCCACTCGCCGGGGACTTTCTTGTGATAAGTGTCAGTTTTGGCCATTCCATCTCCAGCGCCCCCCGCCCTCACCGTTCACCCCGAGTGGGTCTTTGCTAAACGCTGGCTGGAAAGGATTCTTCCTTCCAAACACCACCTGGAGCGACACTTCCCTTGCTTAAGGGGAACAAGCACCACTGGGCTTCCAGAGCCATGAGCATCTGTGATTTTGAGACCTGGGGATGTGGCCCTCAGAACCTCTCCTTCCTTTGGGCTGTGATGTGAATTCTTGGACTTGAGCAATCCCACCCATGATCAGTTCCATTTGGATTCAGATCTGCCTGCTCCTTTCCACCAGAATCACCTTTTCTGGTGGGATGGTAGGTTTT